AATTATTCTGGAGAGATAGAAGCGACTAAGTGAAGAAGATGCTGGAAAAGAAGATCGCAGGACGACGAGATGATTCTTAGTAACCATATATTGAATTATTCTAGAGGGATAAAAGTGACTAAGTTAAGAAGATGATATGAACGAAGATCGCAGGACGACGAGATGATTGTGACCAACTATCTATTGAATTATTCTGGAGAGATAGAAGCGACTAAGTGGATGAGATGATATGGAAGAGGCTCATGTGACGATGGAGTAATTCTTAGCAATTCTCTGTTTAATTATTCTGGAATTCATTGAGGAGGATTCGTGCGGTAGATGATAAGGAAAAGATCAAATGACGATGAAATGATTTTTAGCAAGCATCTATTGAATTATTCTGGAGAGATAGAAGCGACTAAGTTGATTAGATGATATAGAAGAAGAGCACAAGAAGGAGGAATGATTCTTAGTAACAATCTGTTAAATCCTTCTGAGCGATAGAATAAACTACTTGGAGGAGATGATTAGAAAGAGGATCGGGTGGCGGCGGAACGATTCTTAACAACTCTCTGTTGAATTATTCTCTAGAGATTCCCAGAACTACTCGGAGTAGAGGATATGAAAGAATATCAGAGGACGATGGAATAATTCTTAGCAACTCTGTGTTGAATTATTCGGAAGACGTAGAAGGGACTATTGGGAATAAATGATATGAATTAGGATCAGAGGACGACGGAATGATATTTAGTAACTATCTCATCAATTATTTTATGAATAACAGAAGAAAATAGTTGTAGGAAGTGATATGGAAGTAGGTGATATGATAATGGAGGCAGTCTTAGCAGTTGTCTGTTCAATTGTTGTGCAGAGATCGAGACAAAGTTATGAAATTGATGACACGAGCAGGGGCATGCCATCAATTGAATGATTTGTAGCAACTTTCTGTTAATACACTCTGTAGAAAGCGAGAGCTTATTCTGAAATATGTTGCATAGAAATATGATGTGGATATGGAATTATTGGAACAAAGGTTCGACTTGTCTATCCGGCAGAGGTGGAAGCAAAGATCGATAGTAAGTGAAGTGAAAGAATATGATATGGGAGTAGAATAATTCGTACCAAGAGTCTGTAAAAGTATTATGTAGATATGGAAACCAGCATTGGAAGTAAATGAGTCTATGGAGGATGATGAAATCAATGAATTGCACCTATAAGCGTTGTCTTCAATTATGTTGTACTAATTTTAAAAACGACATGGTGTGAATCAGGTGGAAGTAGACGTCATGCCGGTGGAGTGTTCCCTACTAAAACTGTGTTGAATTATTCTCTGCATATGCAATACGCAGATGTGACGTGACTGATATGAAAACACATGACATTAGTATGGAATGTTTAGTAGTAGTGTTCTCTGAAATTATTTTGTAGGAATGTAGTGCGTTTTTTATACTTGATGATATGGATAAATATGGAGTGAGAATAGTATGATTGTAACAATGGTGATTTGAGCTTATTGTGCTGAGATAGAAGCAAAGATAAGTACCGTATGGTATGGAACAAGATCGCACGATGATAGAATGTTCATGAGCAAGGTTTTGTTAAACTTTTCGGCAGGAACAGGAGGAAAGTTTCGAATTAAATCATACGAATGAAGGCTTCGTGGCTTTTGAATAATCTATAGTAGGTTCATGTTAAACTATTGTGCAGTGATGGAATGAAATTTCGACATCTGATCATTAGAAAAAGATGCTGTGATGAGTAAATAATGTGTACTAGCTCTCTGTTGACATATTTTGTGGTGATGAGAGGAAGGTTGTGAAGTGAGTAACTTGAGAAAAGATGGTACAATGACGGAACAAGCATCACCAGTGTTCTGTCACAGTATTTCACAAAAATAGGGATACATATTTGTGACATTTGGTATGAAAGTCGGCAATGTGACGGTGGAATGATTTTACCAATATTCTGCTAAACTACTACACAGGGATTAGATGAATGCCTAAAATAAGTAACATGAGGAAATATGACTTCATGAGTGAATTGCTTTTAGTAGCCTTCTGTTAAAATATTGTGTAGAAATCACAAGGAGGTTGTGAAGCAGATGCGAGAGAAAAGGCTAGATATCAATGGAAGGACTTTTACTAGGATTGGGTGCAACTAATATGGAGTACTTGTCATAGTGTATGTAAGAACGGTTGAAATGATAAATGAAGCAGGTTTTTTGGATGCCCACGACAAAACTAGTGTTTGAGAATCATATGTTTCGCTTGGAAAAGATATTGGACTCGCTAGTGATCTTATATTGCATGAAAGATGAATGAATATTATAGTGATTGACGTCACTTATGTAGGTCTATTTGAAGAAGTTTAATGTAATTTCCCTTGATTTCATGTGTACGTGATAAGCGCATGATATTGCAATGGATTCATTCTCATCACCTTGTGATGAGCGTTTTTTTGTGCTTTGTCTTATCGATTACAAATGACTTCGTCGAAATTGAATGAATCACAGAAGTGGGTATTGATTGACCAGCGGATTCATTAAGAAGTCCCATGCTAATTAACCATACAGTAAACAGTAGCTTTGTATAATGCATGGTTAGTAACTTGATGTTTGTATTGGTAAATCAGTAAATTGCAATGTATCAGTTGTTTGTGATTTAGTTGAAATATGCTTCTGAATATATACTATAACATGTGCGTGAGAGAGAGAGACAGAGAGAAAAACTACTCCTTCGTGACGATAAAATTGCCCAAGAAAAATATCGTCAGGTAGATACTAGTGCCGTTTTATGATAGAATAGGATAATATTTTCGCGAGCGTTTGCTTCGTAGGTGGGATAAAATCATGCATAAAGACAAATATCGATGTATGTATCGTTTCGTAGCCAACTGAGTCAATGAATTACGTTTTTTCCCCTTTGCTTTCTATCCGATCAACTATCGAAACAAGCAGAGATATATACAACGTTGTATAATCAGTCACCCTATTTTTTTTTGATGACACGGCAATACAAGATATAGTCAATTAGGTATACCATTTATTTTTCTCTTGTTGATCACCTGAAATTACCTGAGATACGCACATAATGAGGTAAATGATGATTCGATCTATCAAAAAAATATTGCCTTCGTCCAAAGTCTAATGTACTATTTTTTCTCAGGTCCAACATGACGCCTATTTGCTTTTTTCAATCCACGTATGCCAGTTAGTGATATAGAATGACTTAAATCCATGTATATTTTTTATTTTCAACTCCTGCGTATGCATTCTAAACGATTACGCCAAATGGTTTGAGGAAAATATATCTTATAAACATATATACAAAGATAATATTGTCAAAATTTAGTAAAGTTTGAATCTATTATGATTATTAAGAGGTGGATTACATCATCTGCGAGGATCTTGACGAAATAGTGATTTAAAAAGGACGTTCTCTATAATTTTGTNCCATTTGATGTATCTCAACGAGCTCTACAATACTGTATAAAAATGAAATCGATTCAAGAAAATTTTTTTATCCGGCGGGGTCCTTTGTAGAAATAATAGTTAGAAGTGTAGTATCAAATGATAATCGTTGATGATCCAATAAAGATGGACAAAAAATTAAAATATTGTAAATTAGTGAACAGAGTAAACATATGTGTAAATATAATTGCATTATCATTTGGTGGGGGCACTTTTGTATTTCATTTGTACTAATGTCAATAACAAGTGTTGAAATTTGGTTTTTCAAAGTGCAAATTACCGAAGTTTCATCTAAACAATGAAAAGATTAAAAAATCACTAAGAAAAATATTTTATTAGATTTTACGTGATTGCTTAACCGTAAGTATGTATGCTTTATTTATTTATTTTTACTAATGCTATAATTTCTATATTTGATTTTCTTCTTTGAACTTACTTAATTGATTATCTTGTATCAGTCATTAATACTTATCATCAAGATTATTCTGCATTTTCTTTTTCAAAATCTCGTATAAATTAGAATCGGAGATAATACCTAAGTTTTCTATTTTTAGATAAATCCTTATCTTTCATGGAAAATGATATCTTCGATAACAAACTTCTTCTCATCATCTTGACAAATCAATACAAAATTACCTGCAACTTATTAATGAAATTTATTCATGAATTGTTTTGAGTTATAGTTTTAATATCTATCGTTAAAAGAATTAAAGTAAAATATCTTACCAGTAAAAAGACCTCTAGCTGTTTCTGTTTGAATATTATACAAACTAATTCTATATAAATTAGGATAAGGTGTTGCAAGAAGAATACGTTTCATTGATCGTGATTCAAGATCAAACCATTGGATTTTTTGATGAATTTCAGGTAAAATATGTAAACAAAGCCGATCAAGTATTGAATTAGGTTGTGGATAAACAAAACCATCTGATGTAGACGTCAGAAGGGTTAGATGATTTGTAAAAAACAGAATCATGTGTTATTCTATTGAATTGTATACTGACACTTGCTTAAGAATAAGTACTTCCGTAGTAACCAATTTTTTAAAAATAATTATTAGAATTTCATTCGGTAAATCATACAATTGAACACATGAATATTCCATGTTCATCTACACCTTTATCTACATATTTTGCTTATGTTATAAATTGTCAGTATATATATTGACGTACTTCTGTTCTATTTGGCCGATGTCGCCAATATAAACAATGACACATTTGCATTTTTTTATAATCTAAATTGACAATGAATGAATGGGTAATTGAACGAATAATATTTTTGGGTGGGGTATGGGTGTGAATAAAGGAAAGACACATCCACACCCTTACTCTCTGACGCACAACAACATCACTCAACAGTTTGGTTTTCTGTTTGATTTGATGAAAAGTGTTGCTCTGGCAGGCCGATGTTGCCACCAGTTCGCACGATTTCGTCATTGCAACATGGAATTGATCGGACTTTAACTTTTACCTCTTGATAAATTGTAATAATCAACTTGCTCCGATGAAGACTGACGCACAATCGTTCTCCCGTCCTTACATATTTCTATTCTCTATTCTCTTTTCTGTTATCTGGATGCGGAGTGTGTAAAGCCGAGAGTGAGGCTGTGCGCCGCTCGTCGACGGAAAAGGTTCATATTACAACTGTTTCAAGAGGTAAGGATCAAAACTGATCTAAATACATGTTGCGATGACGAAATTGTGCAGGCTGGTGGCAACCGACAGCGATCTACCAGAGCAACATTTTTTCTTAAACTAATTGAAAAATATTCCGTTCGCATAAATCAATTAAAAAAATACTGTGTTGGATTTTGAAATGGTATAAATCCAAATCGGACGATGAAAAAAATGAGAATCATCAATAAGCATTACACTGAACGGAGTCGACAACGGAGAGAATTAAGTCTTCTTTTCTCCAGAACTAGAACATTGGCTTTTGTGAGACCAGTTTGTTCTATCTGCATGACCAAATCACTATTAGATCACTCAATGTCGTACAACTGTGCAGTTGAACTCGTTAATAGGCACATTCGTTTTTATGACAGACAAAGTGATGGTGGAAAAGGAAGTCGTCATAACGTGGATGATGGAAATTTAGAGTAGCTTTAAATAATTCTTTACTGAATTCTGTGAAAATTCGTGACAGCCCCGTCACTACCATTATCGATAGCTGCGCTAAAACTCGATCAAAACGTAAGACTACAAAATTCATTTCATCCATTCACTATGGAAAGATGTTCAGATTTTTTACTTACGGGGAATGTCTGCTCATTGGATTTATGTATTACAGTGTACCAAAAATGGATTGTCAATAGAACAACCAATCAACTCTTTCATCGAGGAAATCATCGTCCATAGTTCACGTTAACCGCACTGAACTTCCTTGAGACTGCGACTCTGTTATCGTCGTTGATTGAGTGGACGTAAAAGTGCTTGTAAAATTATATAAGCAGTTTTTGTTGCTCACTGGGTAAGAACACGATCGAAGCGTCAAAAAAAAGACTAGGAAGTCATCCTGTGAACAAGTCATTTTTTTAGAAACAAGGACTTTCAGCAATTTGATATTCTTGTGATTACCTGATTGTAACAGTTGGACTAAATTTAATCTCACTGTGCATGTGAATCTGAGTTGATCAAAATCCAAATGATTATACGATCATTTGAATGGGTAAATGCCTCAGCACGATATCTCGCAAGTGGATTTTCTCAAATGTCGAGCGTACCTCAATCGAATTCTGATTAATACTCGTCTTATTCATCAATTTCCATTGTCAAATGCATTCAAACATCTGAGTGTTGACAGACAAAAAAAATCAGACCGATTAATGTTTTCATATTTCACACCTATACCTTCAGTTTTATTTTAGAAAATACAAAGTTTATTTAAAATCTTTTTCTAGTCCAGTACGATATTCCATCGGCACTTCTGCTTCAATTATCTCTTTTATCGGTATTAAATATCGTTCATAATCATCACCATAGATTATTTTTCCAAGACGAATTGCTGTTCTTGAATATTTAACAACATCTTGCCATTGTTTCAACATACAACATGGTATAAGGATACAGAAATGTAACATAAACGTTTGTAATAAACTATGATGATAATGTTCTTGTACGAATTTGAGTGATTTGGAAAATGCTTCCATACATTCTTGTGATAGTTTCGAACCATATTCCAAAATAAAATCGATGGCTTTTGAATAAGAGGCCCATTGTACATCAGATGTTTTATCTTTCTCATGTCGTTCACAAATATCACATTGACATTTGAATAACCAATTATTGTGTAAGATTTCATGTCGTCGTTCACGTAAATGAAATCGTTCTATATACGAAATAAACAGAAACAGAAAGTCGGTTTGAAAAAAAATTCAAATGTGAAAAATGTCGAGATCGACCAAGAAATATCGAAAGTTCATTTGATCGGGAGAACATGCCGATGGCAAAGATATCGATAACCTTTTCAGACAGTAAAAAGCAATTCGGGTCCTAAACCGATTGTTGTCCCTGTTGGGAGTGGGTTTCAACTCGGCTTGCTTTATTCCACGCAAAAACCAAAATCTATTTAGAAGTTTTAAAAAAATCAACACAAATAAGTACTGAAATTTCAAGCAGCGAAAAGCAAAAACGACTTTAGAAAGGTGTTTCTTCGACAAAATTTGACGTGTCCAATTGACTATACAATTACCTATATATGAACAAACAAGCTCTTCTCCAGCTTTAATACGACGATCGGCAATTAATGTCATCTCTTGTCGATTATTGTAATCAAACCATATCCAAAATGTATTCGATTCACATGAATGATTGACCATAGATATATAATAAAATAAACCTTTTTCGTTGGAATCATGGGCCAATGGAATACTATTTGTATCACATATACCAACAAGAGGATGTTTTCGTGTTTGAGACGCAAGTAAAAACTGAATACGACGTTTGGTTTCCGAATCTAATTTATCATAGATCGCTTCTAGGAGTATAGACGACGAATAACTTGGAAATTTCATTAATGGTTTTTCACATACAATAACTGTACCACATTGCAGATCACATTTGGCAAACATGCCAAGACCTTTACCATCGATAGGTTTAATAACGAATAGATCTGACTGTGGATCATCGATAACACGTTCGATAGAATTATTCATCTTGATCTAGAATGAAATGAAAAATGTAGATAAAGTGAAAAGTTGGTTCAAACACGTTCGCGGTTACTCTTAAGAGTGTGTCCGCGGGTACGCATCGAGCATACGAGTCAAGCGCTCGAAATTAATTATTTGCTTAAATTTTCAGCCTAGATAGCTCTGATATACAGAAATATATTATCCTATTTCATAACTCTATCGCAAAAAAAATAACAATGAGGTTTCGCCTGTTGCGCCATCGTCAACATCTGCACGCTTATGAATTGTGGCTAAATAAATAACGTCTTTAAAAAAGTATCATTGGTCAATACAGAGTTAACTGTAATCGATTGGAACGAAAAAATTGACACAGTGATGCAGTCGCATTCTACTCGTTCGCAGTTACTTCAAGATTTGCTGAAGTATTAATTTCGATAATGATACGGCATTCGTCTTTTAAAAATTTATAGATTCTATTGATAATTATTCTTTTATCAATGAATATTCATTTAGGTATCTAAAATGAGAAGAACAAAAACGAAATATAGAAAACTGAAATTATATCCGTATTCTTTTATTTCTTTCAATAATAAGTATCACAAAAAATATAATTTATAAAATAGCTAAATATACAGATCGTATTTTACTCATTATCATTATCTTTTCTAACATATGTTAATCTAGAGTACATCATTCTAAGATAGAAATTAAAAAGAAAAATTTAATTCAGAATAAAGGGAAAACTAATCATTGAAATTAATGATATACATGTATCTGATCTGTTTTAAAAATAATTTTGGTTCTAGTAGTAACGAATGCAAACAGTACAAAATAAAAACTATCTTATATGGTCAAAATCATCGGGTAAATCAGTGACAAGAATTTGGTGAAGAATAGAAAGAGTCATTGCAGACGAATAATTTGGCTATGTAAAAGAGGTCAGCAAATGATGAAATAAAAATAGATAAATAATAGAAACTATCACTTAGATAAAATTCGGTGATATTTTCTTTTTAAATCCTTAACAATTGCAAAAAAATATTTTCAAGATTTGCTTGGTTTTTCTTGAAGCAATAACTATTTCTCAATAAAGGGTGTGCGTGCGGTGTGAATTAATGCAACACCTGAGAAATATTCGTTTTAGGTATAATGGAAACTAAGAAAATGAGCTGTTTTAATTACAAATGTTATTCTTGCCATGAGACTAAAATAAAAATGCAACAAGATCAATCACTAATATCATGAGAGTCACTTTTCGAGAACCATTCGTCTAAATTTCTCTAGATCACTATGAATTAACTCTTTATAACTACCTGACATCGCAGCGGCTCTCTCAAAAAATATAGGAATTCCTATACAGGATAGGTCTAAAATATATAGGATCGCCCTCAACTATATAGGAAAAATATAGGATGACAAATTTATTCCAGAAAAAGATTTAGACACCGAAAAATCACTGTAACAGCATTGAAGATGATAATGTGTTGTTTTTGCACGTATATCTAATCAGCTAAATAAAAATATTATTAAGTTTTGAAAAGTAATGGAGCAGCAAGATTTTCTTAAAACATAAAAAAACTAATTTATGTTCGATTTATTTTCACTATTGGACATGCATGCACTTTAGGGTGTGGGCGAGTTTCTGAACAAAATACTCACACCCACACCCACACCTTTTTAGTATTCAGTCTTTTAGAATTTCATAGTAAGCTACATCAAATTTCATCGAAAAATAAGCATCCGTTCAGGAGTTATAACGTTGTGCATTTTTTTCAAATACTGCCAAGATTTTAGCAAAATTTCAAACCGTTATAACTCCTGAATGGATGCTTATTTTTCGATGAAATTTGAAATCTGTCGATGAAGTTTGATGTAACTTACTATGAAATTCTGAAAGGCGGAATACCAAAAAAGGTTAAAAACATTTGCCGGTTGGGCAAGCAAAAAAATAATTTTGTTTTCGCAAACTACAATCACAAACTTTTGACCACAAAACCTCATTACTTAGCTCCAATATGACCCCTCATAAGTTCCATCTAGGTCTCATGCACTGACGCTGAGATCTAGCATACCCAGAAATTCTGGATAAAACACTGATACAAAGACAACTAATGCAAAGAGTATACTATATACATTATCTAGATGAACCAATAGGAAATAAGAGCCATACAAATTGTTACTGACAATATTTAAATGATGTGTTGAACACTTATCAGGAGTTTTTTGAATTTTTTTAGAAGAATCTTCAATTTTTTCAAAAAAAAATAGGAATATAGGAAAAAAAGCTCAAAATATAGTCTATTATAGGATAAATTTTTAAAATATAGGAAATACAGGATATATAGGACTGCTGCGAAGCCAGATAACTACATTATAATAGCAGTAAAATATCGATTCTTGATAATGCGCCGATTGATCGAATGTTATCCCAACAAATAATCATTATTTTCATCATTGAAGCTACTTAGAAAAATCTAATGATCTAACAAGAAGATATGATTTGACAAAGATTATTTCCTCACTTTCATAAATAAAAGTTCATTATCATCAAATAAAAAAACAACAAGATAAAAATTAGTCCATATGTTGTTTAACGAACCATTCTGATACTTTTCCATTTTATCACGTACATAAGCCCACATATCTATAAAAGAAAAAGATCTTATGAAATTCTGATCTATTGGAAAAGCAATTTTTTTTAATATAATCATTCTGAACTGACGTCTATTGTATTAGTATTTTCTCATATTACCGCTTTCTTTCATTTCGACAATTTTCCATTACTTTGTCTTGAAATAATAATAAAAAACTTTCTCAAAAAAAAAGAGATTGTCTACTTGTACTATAAAAGGATACATTGTGTTTATGAATACAAATGGGTATAAACTAGAGTTGGAATCGGTACAAAATTTTTAACTTCGTCGGAGCTAGGATTTTTTCCATTCCATTTTTATTAGAGGTAAAATTTGGTTTTTAATACCTACAAATTTTAAATAATATCTTCTCATTATTGAAGCCTGTGAGTAAAATCAGCTTTTCAAAAAAGAGAACGTTTCGCATACTTAGAAGATGAAGGATTGGCTTTTTTTGTCAAATTATTTTCATTTCCTTGAGGTTCTTTATGTTCTTTTGAAGAAAAAAAGGGCACATTTAGAGGGTGTGGGTGTGGGTGTAGCTCCGAATGTGTTTTCGTTTACTGTTAATTAACACCCACACACCCACACCCACGTTGCTGCAGTGCAAGTCTGCCGTACTGTTCGATTTGCTATTGAATTTCACCGGGACTGAGCCGCTGTGAGAGGCCGTTATCCTCACCTATCATTATTGTCGTTCTTTACGCAGAGGATCATAGAAGAATGAAGAAAGTTTTGCTTGCTTGTCACTACTGTTTTGTTTGAAGAACGATTTTTATTGACAGAAAAAAATTCATATTGTTTTTTCTCCTTCCTAAACGTTGTGAAATGACTTTCAACACGTGTGAGAAGAAAGAAAATATTCTTCATTCATAAAAATATTCTTCGTGTTCATTCTCAGCCAAATGGCATCGAAAAAATCTGAAATCGATGAATTAGTGGAACAGACTGGCGCCATGGCCCTTAATCCTAATAATACAACCAGCAGTCAAACCGCCGACTATTATCGCAATCAAAAAGAAACAGATAGAATTAATTTTGCTCGTCTGGAAAAAGGATTGTTACTATTCATTTATGTTTATGAAACATCCAAAAGTACTTTAGCAACGGAAATGTTTTTCTGGGATCATCGAATCTGTGTGAACGTGATCACAACGGGTAAATGTTCGAAGTCTTCTGATAAATGTCGTAGTGAACATCAAAGTTCGTATCGACAAACGAATCTTTGTCCATACTGGTATATCAATAATCGATGTACTTTTGGTTCGAACTGTCAAAATTCTCATCGATTGGAAGAAGTACCAAATGAGCATCGTTATATTCGCACAGAAACCGAAGTTGACGTTTTCAAATTGCTCCGATTCATTCGAAATTTTGCTGGACATTACATTGACTCCATTATCGCGGATCAACAACAACTCCACAAGGATATTCTTGTAGTTATGCTGCATTTGGTACATGCCTTAAGTCGTAAAAATGCTCGATCTATCGAACATCTTCATTTATTCTTGGAGAAAACGACTGTAAATCAAATGATTTCAGAAGAAAATCTTCTTTCCGAACTTGAAAAACCATTCAGTGTACCAGAAGTATTCTTTGATCTTCGTCTCAATTATAATGCAACTTGGTATCGACCAACTGGCAACAAACGAGATGTGAATTTCAATCAATTGTCGCCGGGATTTGTCACTTATTTTAACGGAATCTTTCTTGACTACTATCAAGGGCGTCTGAAATCGCGAGGTGCCAAGCCAGCATGGTGTTGATGATCTCCTCAGCAAGTTGTTAATTATGAATTTTTAATTCCTCTGTAAAGAAGTTTTACAATAAAGGACGCGGAGGCGGTTTGTCCACAAATCGACCCCAATACGAAATCAGCCAATAAACGAATTGTTGAATCAAATTTGTTCTGCTACCATACATACTACACTACTCTCATCTCGTCCCCCAAGTTTCACAGATTGGCTCCACTGTCTACGGTCGCCAGCACTCAGCAAGTTTCCACTGTCACACTCCCACGATAAATGTTTCGATTTGATCCTTGTGGATTCAACTTAAAGAGAAAGTATTGCAGAGCTGTATTTTGTTTATTTTAATGAAACGTATTAAGTTGATAGCTGAAATAATTAAAACAATTTCTTTTGACGCCTGTTTTCTGTTTACAATAAGGGCAAGAAGGTTGAATCCATTTGAAACATCCTCCAAGAATATTTACATCTCTACTGTCAGCAGTTTCAACCTTTTCCAGAGGAGCTCGAACGTTTGTAGGATAAGTTGGGTTCCTTCTAGTCCCTCTCCAGTTATGTCATTAGAATTCTCCAGAAAGCAACCAGATATCATTTAGAAGACAATATGAATATTTTATTATTGAATGTAAGTATTTTACAGCTTATAACATTAAAGAGAGACAAGCAGAAAAAACGAAGGCGTTAACTACGATAATTGTTTTTAACACACGTATGTTACATATAACAAACAGAAAACTAAAGCCAAAGACATGTTGAGCTGAAACAAAGAGTAATATTATTCATTTATTTTCTCGTATAAAATAATTGAATTTGTATATATATATATACCAATCGATTCGGGTGTTTTTAGAGAGTTCAGCCATCGTAGAAGTGGAACCACATTGGTGCGCCTTATTCCATTATCCAGTCGAACTTAAATGAAGAAAAAGACAACGAAAGAATATTAATCCGTAAAATACATGAGTTTCAATAGAAAATAGTTTTCTGTTCCTTTATTGAAAAAAATAGATCATTTCAATAAATCTTTTTTTACCTGCACTTCTTTTTATATATAATAATATTTTGATATGTTTGTTCAATAAGAACTTTTATTACCGAGTTACTTTTTAAGTGAAAAGTCGAATCAAGTGTCAACTTTCTTATGTATAGTTTCCAGAAAAAAAAACTAATCTGAACATTCAAAATACATCTTTAAGATAAGAAGTTGCTCTTTCGCGCCTCATTTTGTTATATTTGCTCAATTCAGCAGCGGAAAACTATGCTGCCGGCGAGACTTTCCTTTTCTTAGTTTTTCCTAATCATTTTACTTTTTAATCAGACTATTTTGAAAAAATTAAGAATTTGATCGACACTTTGAAATGAAACTTTGATTAGTTTTTCTATTTTTGTTTTCTACAGAAAAAAAAACACATAGCAACGCCCGCTATTTAAGAGTGAAGTAGTGTGAACGTACACAACGGTTAAGAAGTTTTTGAATCATATAAAATAATTCTTGATCTCAAATTCATATAGACTCTGGCTCAATGTTGAAATAGGATCTATTTTACCAAGTTGAAAGATTTCATCACAGCTGTCGTCAATATTATTTCTTTCTAAACTTAAAATAGATATCAAAGATAGTTAAATGAATAAAATAGAGAAACATTTGGATAGAAAATTTCACAATTCAAATTATTTTGTCTTTCTCGAACATAATTTATTGTTCAATATTTTCATAATTAATCAACAATGATGAATAAAGCATACTATTTTTCATCAATTTTAATTAGAAAAAGAGAAAATGAATTCGATCAAAAACTATGATTATTATTTGCAGTTTAAAAATATCGAAAATAAAATCAAAGTTTTTAAAGCATTTGATTTTACTTCTCAAATATCGATCAAGTTTATGTTATATAAGTATAAATCTTATGGTTTAGCAAGAGAAGATGTGAATAGAATTGATACAAGAGTAAGTTTTTCATTCAAGTTGAGCTATACATCATTATAAGAATATCCTTTATGGTTAATAAAGGAAAAAACAAAACTAAGAATGGTATGTATCATGGATTAATAAGAGATTTCATTGTGATTAGTTTTGTTTGCTTAAAATAAACTTACTAGATGTCCAAAGAAAATCATCTGATCGCCAAAGACGTAATGTTTGTAAACGAGGCATATATGTGCTAAGAAAAGGCACAAGATGTTTACCAATATGATTTGCTTTGTTGTAACCATCATGACAACTCGGAAGACAAACTTCAACATATCGAACACTACTTAATGCATTCGTTCTTAATTCGTTAGATGCCTAAATAGAAAAATAAATAAATCATAATAATCTATCAGAATTGATTCATCAAATCAAACTAATTATATTAAAATGATTGGAAAAGATAGTTTAATAACGATCCACGTAGAACAATCGTTAAACAATTTTTTGTTTATCTCGTCTATAATCTTGCCTTTCCTTTCTCACTCCTAAAGTGATTGACTTTCTTTTCTATCGATAAATTAGAGATAACTGTTGTTATTTCTTCTACTTTTTCTTCGAAACATAAAACGACTCGATTTGTTTGTTCTTTATTTTTAAATCCTAAGATATAATTTCGCACAGAAAATGAATGCATGAAATATTTTATTTTTATTTTTTATTTTTATTTCAAAACGAATATTTTTAGCTCAAATACGAACCAAATAGACTACCTTTTTGATCACGATCGAAAGTGTTATGACTCTGACTGTACACGTTACGAGTAGATTTTTTCTTCTCAAAACTGTTGTTTTTTCGCTTCTTAATTTAAATGATAGATTCAGCAGTTTTCTTTAGGAATGTATATGTTTAGATATGAAGAATACAACGTAAAAAGGTGACTTTTACTTGAAATAAGTCTGAATTCGACTAGAAAACAAAAATGATAATTTGATGTCAAGAATAAAAACTGTTCTACTAATGAGAGTTTGATTGAAAAACTGTTTTAATTCTAGACTGATATGCTGTACTTAAAAAGTATTAACAATAAGAAATGAAGAATAGAAAAAAATAATTGTAAAAATGTTCGATTGGATTTCAATTTGATTTTGTGTTTATCATCAAATGTTAATCGGACATTATCGATTAAATAATATATTTTTTACAAGCAAACAACGTCATTTGAAAGCTAAAAGACATCTCTACTTAACAAACGTTTCAAAAAATCTTTTACTCTGAATAAGAAATTGCTATTCATCGTTTATTCAGATACAATAAACATTCGATACACTCATCTACTGTCAATATGTACATCTTGGTAACGAGAAAATGAAACTCTATAAATCTAAAGTCTTATGAAGATTAAAAAATTCGATATAAGAATATAAAATCGATGACGCTCAAAAGATAAACGAAGACAGGTAGGCATGTGACAAAGGTTACAAAAGATGTAAAACTTTTAACATGCCTCTTCTGTTAAATTTTCATTTATTAATAATTTGACATGAAAGAGTGAAAAAAGTGGTGTAATTGTAAAAGATAAAAGAAAAGATCAATCCATAATTCTTTAATGTTTGATAAAAATCGTAGCTAGTCGTGACTGAACTTCAATAGGCGTGTAATATGAGAAACTTGATCCAGGATATCTTGAGATTGGCTACACGTATCAAATTTTCTTCAAGTTCCTAAGGGTTTCTTGACACGCTCTTTCTTTTTGTCTCTAGGAAGTTTTCTTCAAAACGCTCGAAAGATGGGTTTCTAGAAAACCGTGCTTTTTTAGCTATAGGCACCGAAAAAAAAAGTTTTGTAAAATACTGTGCATTAGAAAAACCTTTTCAATATGATATTCTGATTCAGCATCACAATACGAACATTTTGAAAAACAATTCAAGTCTCTAGCACAAAGCATAGACTTACAAATTGGTTTTCAAATTTTAAAAACTTCATTTTTCCTAAATTTCGAAAAAATCAAGATGGTTAAGTGTTATATAGCTGGTTCAAACGTCAATCGACAGAGAATTTAAAACTGAAGGGACGTAGGGGTTAGATAATGTTCACATACCAGATGATCTTGATTTTCTAGAGGATCGTTAGAAAACTCTTTCTCGGATTTAACTTATAGTTTAGTTTTTTTTTGGGTTTTAAACAGCATTATTGAACTTTTTATGGTTTCTAGAACTACAAATCAATTAAAATCTTGTATATGAATACTCAAAATGCTTCTAACATCTATATTAATCTATTTCAGCCTGTTCTCCTTATGTGCTATAATACCAGACACCAATTGTGTATACTCTCTTCTCTCTTCTCAGCTTCATGTTTGATCGGGGTGTCAATTTACATTTTATTTAATTTAAATTTAACTTCGTGAAAAGTTAATTTAATTTAAAATAAAATTCTATCAAGTTAAATTTAAAATAAATTTAAATTCTTCTGATGCAAAAATTTAAATTTAAATAAAATTTAAATTTTTAGAAGTTAAATTTAATTCAAAGTAACTTTTTGAAAATTTATTTCTCGATTTAATAAATTTTTTTAAATTTAAATTTTAAATTTAATAAATTGTTTGGATGGATACACATCATTGCTACGAGTAAAATACGTGACTATAACAGTAGTAAATACAAAATGAGAGGAAAAAACCTAGTATTTTAGGTTAATATTTGTTCATAATAGTCAAAATTTCTCTACAGCTTATGCAGAATTCGTCATCTTTGTTCTTCAAAATACTAGGATGCTCATAAAAATGTATTTAATAGCACAATTCATAGAAGAATGACTAGTTTTAACTTTAGAAAACAGGAAAAATACTCAAATTTGACTTTAAATAGTAGCAATCAAGTCAAAAACTATGTTTTTCTACTAGTTGCAAAATTTAACTAATTTGAATTTCAAACAATTTAATTTAAATTTAGTTAAATTTAAATGAGATAAAATTTTAAATTTAATTTAATTTAAATTTCTTGAATTTAAATTTATTTTAAATTTAACTTTTCATTTGAATAAAAGTTAATTTATTTTAAATTTAAATTTTTGAAAATTTATTTCTCGATTTAATAAATTTTTTTAAATTTAAATGTGACACCCCTACTATTTAACATGCAGAAATTGTTAAAAATCATTATTTTGATAATCGGCATTTAACTAAGTTTTGTTGTAGATTTTTTTTAATGTTTCAAAATTCCTTTGGCTTTATCTAGGAAATCAAACAGAATACTCGTTAACATTCTTAGAGAAAAAGTCTTGATTTTTAGATTTAATTATCTCAAAAGAAAGACCTTACAGAGTTTGTATTAAATCCAAAATATGACGTCGATTTTTAGTAAAAGTTATTGCTAAATTAACACTCGAAATAATAAAGTCGTTCTGTACTACATTAAAAGTACAAAAAAAATTTTTTTTTTCTAATCCTATAAATCCTGTTTTTACAGAGCGCATCTCATAACTCAGCAAGATTTATCAGATCGAACTCATGTTTTGGATTTAATAGTAACACTAAGGCTTTTTACTGAGATAATTAAATTTAAAATCAAGAATTCTTCTCCAGTCAAGTACCTTTTTTCCTTGTCAATTTTCTGGCAAATCCTCTTCTAAGAAGCTGTTAAGCTTATAAAATACTTACCATAACCGTCCTGGTTTTCTTTTATACGACAATAGTTCGATTCTCCTTTATCGGCAGATTCAGGAGATAAGGTGGTGCCCATGCTTTTGACTTCGAGCTCCGTGAAATCTTTCATAGCTTTTTCGAACTACAATGGTTGAGAAAATGATTTTGTTATTAAATATCTCTGTACAGTAAAAAGAAAAGGAAATAATACTTTTTTTTAATATAATTCTTGGAGTATTGGTTGCATTCACCTCGAGTTTTTGCTCGGCCATTTATATATATCCAGACAAAAATATCGTAGAATAAAATCTGAACATATAAATGACTTAATTTTTTTCCACAATGTCAATTCTCTTTTGTGGCAGATGTACGTTTGTTTTTTTTAAACACAGCTAATTGTGAATGTATTTTTTTGCCAACTGATTATGATCAGCACATAAAAAGAATAAGAAAGAGAGAGCCAAGGAATGTACAAGATAGCCTTAAAGTGAGAAGCAGACTTAAAGAGCAAATTACGTGAAAAAATCCTATGACTATGGTGTTTCGCTTCGCAACATATTTCCACGCCTCACGTGATGAAACATTTTGCTTATCTCAATACCATTATCAAGAAAAAACATAGGGATGCTCTTACTTGTTCATTGGATATCCAACATACGTCTTGAGTCAAACTGAC